TTAACCACCACAAGATACCTCCCACATGTCCTTCCTCATCCTTCGCTGCCCAGTTGTTGCCTTAAATCAATATCTATCTCTGTAGCACTTGAACCAATAGATCGCCACCAACTTTAAACCTTTCCGAAGATCATTTTTCTCGAGCCTTCAACATTAGAAATACCCATTCGATTTCGAAATTGCTGCACTCCGCTATCTCTGACGACTGTTTCCCCGGTACCATCTCACACTACCTTGCCCCAAAAGGCAAATCGATGAAGACCATAACACCGGCGAACTTAACACATTCAATCCAGGCGACGACACTACATCACAGATGAAAATTCAACCACGCTTGAAAATACCAAGTCTCGTTACTCCGTCAACCCAAACTTGAACATTCATAGTCCGATTGTCTTTTCTTCGCCGGAAATAAAATACTAAGTCTCCGAATCATGCACTGAGTAAATCTCCTTCCAAGTCATTCACTGCTTCGACGCATAGACAAGCATCCTACCATTACACCAACACTGTGTGATAGCAACGCATGAATCATCATAACAATCCATGCCAACTCTCAAAGCGTTAGGTAGCATTGATATTGAGCTGGAACGACAGGACGGCCTTCCGCAAGGCGACGATAATAGTCCAGTCAAATATTCAAGGAGAAACATCTTGCACCACATCGATAGTACCATTACAATTCCTAAATTCCTGATTTACAACAAGCACCTCACGTCACATAAGATCGAGTAGGACATAAAAAAGGCATAAGGCTCAAAGGAATCAAATCGCACGATGAGGAATCAAGAAGGGAAGTGCTTCTAACAGCCCTGTAGCCTCTCGAAGATAAGTACAGACGTCTCCGTACCGATCCGCAAGACTCTACTAGACTTGCTCATGACTCGTGAGACCTAAGTGAACCTAGTGCTCTAATACCATGTTGTCACGACCCAAAATCCATTAAGGGTCGTGATGGCACCGGACACTGCTGTCAGACAAGCCAACAATAAATAATTAATTTGGTTCTCATTTTAGTATTTTTCAAATTATAATTTCCTTCAATTAAATAGTAGAAGATGGAATTTAAAGAGTAAATAATAAAATTGTAATAATTTCAATATTGAACACCCCTTAATCACCCCAAAACCCTGTGTTACAAGTGCATGAGCATCGACTAGGAAGCAAATAAAATATAGCATCTATCCGGAATACAAATTGGACAGGACAAATATAAATACTCTGAAGGAGACTCTGCGTGCTGCGGACTCGTAACATAGGATGCAACTCACCTATGTCCCCGCAAGTAACCACACCTCTGCGCCCGTAGGACCACCAGACATAATGTACCTGCACAAAATGTGCAGCAAGTGTAGTATGAGTACGTAAATCAACGTGTACCCAGTAAGTATCTAGCCTAACACCGGGGGAATAGTGATGAGGGGTCGACATCGATACCAGTAGTGGTCCAATAATATCAGGTACAGTAAAGAGGTGAACAAATATGAGGCAGAGTAGATAAATGAAATAAACAAGTATAAATACGTGGTACAATTCTCCTATTTACAATAATTCAGGCTCTCAATTAGCAAATCCCTCCTCAACCGAAGCATATATATATATATATATATATATATATATATATAGTGAACCTCACCAAATAGGTCGTTATACTTCAAATCAGGTTAAACCCTCTGATACACTAGCTTTTTTCCGAATATTACGCACGATTTCATAAGGATATCTTATAGAAATGCCGAGGTGTACAGCCCGATCCTATCATAATCTGTGCACTGCCGAGGGTCGAACGACACGAACCATAGATGCAACTATTAAACTTTCGAGGCGAGCGGCCCGCTCCCATGAGAGTGTGGTAAATAAATCCCGCTGAGGCGATTGGCCCGATCCCATAAGATGTGAAATACATAATCCTGCCGAGGCGAACGGCCTGATCCCATTAGAATAAGAAGATTTGACGAGTCCTTGACCCCACTCACAAATAAACATGTGAGTTATAATTTCTTTAACAAAAACCTTTCAATGAAACATATATATGACGAAAACATATCGTAAGAGGAGTACAATTATTCGGTGACAAATCATGAACATGTGAAGTCTCTACAATAGCAAGTCTAACAGTAATGTAAAACAGAGAAATTTAATAGGCGAGAGACTGATCAAATAGTACAACTATTGTGCGATGTGAACCTAAGCCAACCCAGACAATAACATGAATGTAGCTATGTACGGGCTCTTGTCACCTTGCGCGTACGTAGCCCCCCACAACAAGTAGTACACATCAATTTACAAAACCTAGGGCCAATTTCCCCCTCACAGGGTTAGACAAGAGACTTACCTCACTTCAAAGTTCCATAAACGGCTCTAACACCGCTCTATCACTTCAAACCGATGCCGTCGTTCCAAAACTAGTCAAACAACGTGCAAACCTATAAAAATATACTCTATACGCACAACAAGTCAATTTAAGCAAATTCTCAACTTTGCTCAAAAAGTCGAAAAATCAACCCTTGGGCCCACGTTCCCGGATTCCGAAATTTTCGAAGATAAAATTTACTCATAACACCAAGAACTCGAATATATAACTTATTCCAAATTCCATGTCCAATTTCGTGGTCAAAATCCAAAAATACCAATTTTTAGGTTTTTCTTCAAAATCCCAAATTTCTACAAATTTTCATGTCTAAATCCATATATAAATCTTGTATTTAACTCATAACTAGAAAAAATCACTTACCTCTTGATGATGATGGAACCCCCTCTCAAAATGCTCTCAAAAATCGCCTAAGTCCAAGTGGGAAATAAGGAAAATGGGCTAAGTCTCGAAATAAAAAGCCCTTGGCTCCAGTCCCAGATGTCGAATTTGCGACATCTGGCTCGCAAATGCGATGATCGCTTTTACGACAAATGCATCGCAAATGCGGAGCCAAGCTGTCCCTGCCATGGTCGCATTTGCGACCAAAATCATCGCAAATGCGAAGAGGACAACATCGCAAAAGCGATCAATTCTTCGCAAATGCAATCCTTCCCTCAGCAGCCAGATTCGCAAATGCAAACACTACCTCGCAAATGCGATGGTCGCATTTGCAACCAATACATCGCAAATGCGATCACACCAGAACCAACAAACGAACTTCTTCACAAAACACTTCGAAGCTACTCCGAAACTCACCGAGCCCCCAGGGCTGCAAACCAAACACCCACACAAGTCTAAAAATATAACACGAACTTGCTTGAGGCCTCAAATCACATCAAACAATGCTAAAACCATGAATCACACTCCAATTCAAGCTTAATGAACTTCAGAACTTCAAACTTCTACATTCGATGTCGAAACCTATCAAATTACGTCCGTTTGACCTCAAATTTTGCACACAAGTCACGTTCGACATTACAGACCTTCTCCAACTTTCCAAATCAGAATCCGACCCCGATATCGAAAAGTCCACTTCCGGTCAAACTTCTAAAAAACCTTCAAATTTCTAACTTTCGCCAAACGACTCCAAAATGACCTACGGACGTCCAAATCCATTTCCGGACGCGCTCCCAATACCAGAATCACCATACGGAGCTATTCTCAAACTCGTAATCCCAAATGGACATCGATAACATTGAAATGCACTTCAACCCAAATTTATGAAATTCTTCCAAAATGCTAACTTCCACAATAGTCGCCGAAACGCTCCCGGGTCATCCAAAACCCGATCCAATCATACGCCCAAGTCCAAAATCATCATACGAACCTGCTGGAACCTTCAAGTCCTGATTCCGAGGTCGTTTACTCAAAAATCCAACCTTAGTCAATTCTTCCAACTTAAAGCTTCCGAAATGAGAATTTTCTTTCCAAATCAACTCTGAACTTCTGAAATTCCAATTCCAACCATGCGTACAAGTTATAATACCTGTAGTGAAGCTACCCGCAGCATCAAACTGCCGAACGACACGCTAGAGCTCAAAACGATCGATCGGGTCGTTACAAAAACCCTGCTGAATTTGCTTTCATTGATGATGAAAAGTATATCAGAACTGCAGAGGATCAAAACATTAGGAATAAGAGCTCATCGTGAGAGAAATATGGAGCTGTTCATTTGAATGGGCGAAAGCGGCAGAGAATTTAAAGTGCGACCAGGGAGACTGCCTCTAGAATGCCAAGCATCATGAATGCTTTCAACATTGCTCTGCAAACTCATTTCTGCTAGGAGCATATAACTTACATACTTGGTTTTTACAGCTTTTCCTTTTGGTCTTGGAGAATTCACTGAACAAGATTATTGCTACCTATAGCTAGTAAGCTTTTCAACATCAATAACGTAATATGAAATATTTTAGAATTTGAAGATAAATCTGTATACTAATTAATAATATCATTACGTCTTTCATTTCTTGGATGATTTACAACTTGATTTTATGAAGAAATCAGACATATTTAATTTTAAATCAATTTATATAGAATAAAAAATAATTAATACGGAGAAAATGATTATATAGATAACATTATCATTACGTATCTTCCAATCATGTATATTTTACTACCTGGCTCATTCTCCATAAAGAAAATAGGTAACTTCAAATTTTAATTTGCTTTATACGTAATAAAAGAAGTATGGATTGACCCACATAGTTCTGTTCTGATCTAATAAATATAGGTCAATTTTTATACTATTAAGTCACTAGTATTCAGGCACGCGCTTTGCATGTGTATCTCATATAAGTAATCAATAAATATATTCAAAATCTGTTGTTAAAATTAAATATTAAATATATCTTAGCAACATTTGATTAAGTAACATAAATGGAAAATTAATTATACAAAAAACTAGTGTTATTGCTACTTGTACACTTAACGTGGACATCCTTAAAACTGTACTACCTTCCAGTAGCATTCCCAAAAAGAATCATTCTTGCCTTTTTATTCAAACCCTGCTGACCTTGCTCTCGTTGACGATGAAAATGATATTTCAAGGGGAATTGTTGGTACATCAAGTTCTATGGTGCTTTCATAGCATAGTGATAATGCTACTAAGTCATTAGACGTGGATGACAGTAGTACCTCTATAACTGTACTGCCTGTCACTAGTATTCAAAAAAAGAATCCTCCTTGCCTTTTAAATCAAAACCCTGCTGAAATTGCTCTCGTTAATGATGAGAAGTATATCAGAAGTGCAGAGGATCAAAACAATAGGAATAAGAGCTCATCGCGAGAGAAATCTGGAGCTGTTCATTTGAATGGGCGAAAGCAGCAGAGAAGAAAAGAGCGACCAGGGAGACTGCCTCTAGAATGCTGAACATCATGAATGCTTTCAACGTTGCTCTGCAAACTCATTTCCATTAGGAGCATATACAGCCTACATGCTTGGTTTTTACAGCTTTTCCTTTTGGTCTTTGAGAAATCACTGGACAAGATTACTGCTACCTATAACTACTCAATGTTTCAACGTCAATAACGTAATATGAAATATTTTAGAATTAATGAAGATAAATCTGTATATTAATTAGTAATATCATTACCTCTTTCAATTCTTGGATGCCTTAAAACTTAATTTTATGAAGAAGTCAGACACATTAAAATTTAAACTACTTTATATAGAATAAAATTAATACGAAAAAGTGATTATATAGATAACAATATCATTATTTATCTTTTATTCATGTATATTTTACTACCTGACTAATTTTTTATTATGAAAATAGGTAATTTTAAATTTTAATTTGCTTTATACGTAATAAAAGAAATATGGATTGACCCACATAGTTCTATTCTGATATAGTAATATTGGTCAACTTTTATACTATTAAATTACTAGTATCCAGGCATGCGTTTTGCATGTGTATAATTCAAAAATATATATTCAAAATTTGTTGTAAAAATTTAATATTAAATATATTTTAACAACATTTGTGTTACACCCCGTAAGTTTAACCACCTTTATACCGTTATATATATATATA